AAATTTTATTAGTAAGTAAATGTGGTTTGAAATAGGACTACTTGTTTTAGGTTTTTTCCATTGTGTCATTTATTTATTTGACGTGGCAGAAAAGTACAGAGAATATGAAGATGAACCAATGCCTGCAAATGTTCAGTATATGTACTCGTAAGAGATATTTTTATCTAATATTAAATGGACGCACAGAACTTAGCGAATGCACAGCAACCTGGACAACCAAACCCAGAGAATATTCCAAATGAAGTTAGAATACAAACTGCAATGGCAAACTATGGTCAAGTGCCAACAGATGTACAAATGCAAACTGCCATGTCAAATGACGCTGCGTTAGGTTTGCCACCATGGTATGCAAATATGAGATGGAAAGAGTTTTATACAAACCCTGAAGTGGGATATAAACAACTTTATGCAGATGACGCGAACACAGGAGTTGACCCAGAATATGTTTTCTACCAGAGGAGAAACAGAATGTATGAGCTCCAGTTAAAGAATGCTATGGAACTCAACAGGAAACGTAAGAGACTAGGCGGACATTAGATTTTTACATATAGTAAAATGGGTTTCTTCAGTAGTATTGGAAACTTCTTCAGAAGAGTTGGAAGAGGTATATGGAATGGAATAAAATCTGTCGGAAGAGGAATTTGGAACGGAGTCAAAAATATTGGTAAAAGGGTAGGTCAGTTCGTTGGTATTATACCTAAAGACCCTGAACCAGAAGAACAAGCTCCTGTTATACAACAGCCTGAACCTGCACCACAGTCTAGTTGGCAACCAAATCCAACACCTCAACCGTATTAAAAAATTATATTTTTACCGTTCGATAGTAGTTGTATATGAAACTAAGTTCTAAGTAAAACGCATGGTATAATGGAATTATTCTTTTTCTTCCATCTGTAGTAAACCATACTTGAAAGTCTGAAATACTTCCACTTGGTGGTTCGTATAACTTTGTAGGTTTTTCGTAAAAGTCATTTGCCAAGCATAAGAAAGAGTTTTGGGCGCCAGAAAATGAAGCATGAACAATAATAGCAGCTGGGTCGAAAACATCTTTAAATAAATATGGTTCATCTCTTGCATATCGACTGTAAATATTTGCTAAAGGAAGTTCGACTTTCTGATTTAACATTCTTTGCAAATAATACCATGACATTGCAGTGAATTCTGTATATATTTGTTCGTCTTTATTTGGATTGTTTTCGTAGATTTGAAATGACACTTGTGAATTTTGTTTTCATATACAATTCTCACATAAAGTGTGCTCTCGGTATTTGCATATTCATCAGCATATTTTGCATAACATGAATTTATTTTATCTTCTATATTTTTTAACGCAGTCTGTAGAGAAGATGAAAGGTCAACTTGTATTAGCTCAATTTCTTCCCACATTTTTCGTTTCCCTTCAGATATATAATCTATATGAAACCTTACAATAAATGGAAAACTTTTATCTTCTACAGATACAAACTTCATTCTACGAAAGCCAATAGCTTTTTGTGACAGATGGGTCTCTTAGCCATCTTAATGGTAGTCAAAACGATAGCCTTCATGCTTTACGGTCTCTGTCTCAAACTTTTGACCGACATTAGTAAAAAGTTCATCTAATGGTTTAGTTGTAGCAACTCTTGAATTTTCTTTTTCTATTGGAAGCATATTTTATCTAGAATAAAAATGTCGAAAGATATTGCTTCCATGAGAGAAATACAACACAACCGACAACTCATTATGCAAGCTCTAAATAAGAACACAACAAACTTTTCAAACTATTCTAAGATATCTGAGTCATTGAAAGAAGGAAACTTAAAACTGACATTAAACCCAATGACAGATGAGTTTCTATTTCAAGACAAGAAGAACCATACTGTCTGTATAAATCCAACAAAAGGAACTTTAAACGAGAAACCTATAAATGAACTTTCTTTGAAAGCAGATGTTGACAACAAAGCTGACAAAGAATATGTAGACGATGCAATAGCAAAAGAAGAAGAAAGAGCTAACAATGCTTATGCAACAAAAGAACATACTCATCCTGAACTAGCAGACAAAACATATGTTGACAATAAAATGTCAAGTGAAGTGACAAGAGCTGAAAACGAATATTCTAAAAAGACTCATATACATTCTATATCTGAAATAACAGACTTAAACGTTAGCCTTGAAAAGAAAGCAGATAAGGAATATGTGGCTAGTAAGTTAGAGAAGAAAGCGGATAAGGAATATGTGGATGAAAAAGATAACGAAATGAAAGAAAGGGTTGACTGGTACCATGAATGGACATCGAAGACTTTTAAAGTTAAAGCCGATACAGGATGGGTTTCAGGATGTTTAGACCTTAAAGCGGATAAAACTTATGTTAACGATGAGTTAGAGAAGAAAGCAGACAAGAACCATACACATACAAGTTTTACAACTGTTGCTATAGAAAGTATTGAAGGAACGGTTGAAGAAACTGGTGGGGATGCAATATATTGTAAACCTCCTAACTTTCCACAAGGTTTAACATCGGATGACGACATAACGACGATGAGAAACATTAGATGTAAAGATGTTTATGTCATGAAGGATGAACATAATATTAAATTCACTGCTCAAGATTTATATGACAAGAAAGCAGACAAAACAGAGCTTCAAACATTAAAGACAGAAATGCTTCAAACATTATATCCTATAGGCTCTATTTATACGTCAATGAACTCTACCAGACCAGAAGTAGTACTTGGTTTTGGAACTTGGACTCAAATAGTCGACAGGTTTTTTGTATTGTGCAAACTCTTCAAAGGAAACAGGTGGAAGTAAAACGATTTCAGGTGAAAATTTACCTGCACATAGTCACTACATAGATTTAAGTACATCTCAAGCAGGTTGGCATAAGCATAATTTTTGGGATTGGTCAGCAATGAAAAAAGGTAAAGGATATGATGTTAAAGACGACGTTCAGTTTGCTAAAATTGTTTCTGGGGTAACACTCAGGGAGATGGAAACCATACACATCGCGTTTCGGGATATACGCAAACAACGGGACAAAGTAAAGACTACATGCCACCTTACATGACAGTTTACGCATGGTATAGAAATGCTTAGTCGTCATTTTCAACTTCTTTAGCATATTCGTCAGGAGTTGTCTTATATTTGTTAGGAACTGTCTTTGAAAGTATACCACCTTGAACTTTGACAAGTTTGAAACGAGGTCTGACAATAGTAGTTTTATCTTCTGCTTGCAGTGTGTACATTTTGCCATGTTTGCCTAAAACTTCATAATATTCTCTTGTATACTTTCTTCTATTTTACGAACACGAATGTGAGTACCTGTCGGGTTCCCATTGTTGTCATAGTCAATAGTATTTTCATATGGGTCGCGTTTAGGTATTTCTATTTTTACTTTGTCACCTTTCTGAAGTTTGAAGCCCGGCATTCTTTCTTGTTTGTCTCTTTTGACTAAATTATTAAATATATAGTCTTTCTCTAAGTCAGGGTTGTTTTTCATTTCTTCGGGGGAGTGGTTTCCCAAACCTTTTTGTTTACGGCTATTGTAAATATTTAAAACTTGTCTCATCTTTGCCATGGAGAAGTGTCTATATTTGTCGTCATATGACATTTCATTTGCTTCACCACCTTGTGGTTGGTTTAAGTCTCTTAACATTTTTATACAACCGTCAATTCTTATATACGAAAAAAAGAGATCTGACATTGTGTCAGATCTCAGCAAAAGTGACATTTACATGTCAAAAAAATAGAATGAGTTTAAGTAATTAAAATTGAGGGTGAGAGTAGTATTGTATGAAATAATATCTCTCACCCTCCAATTCATCCTATGGCGCCGAAAAAATTTTGGTGAAATGCGACCACATTTCACCAAAATTTCTCGGCGCCATATAGAGAACTAGAGCCTGTGAGGTACTGATACTATCCATGTACCTCGCAGGCTCTAGTTCCAAGCCAAAATGGCTAAAAATTGCCCGCAATTGTTCACATTGCGGGCAATTTTTAGCCATTTTGGGGGAATGGAGGGTGAGAGTAGTATTGTATGAAATAATATCTCTCACCCTCCAATTCATCCTATGGCGCCGAAAAAATTTTGGTGAAATGCGACCACATTTCACCAAAATTTCTCGGCGCCATATAGAGAACTAGAGCCTGTGAGGTACTGAACTATCCATGTACCTCGCAGGCTCTAGTTCCAAGCCAAATGGCTAAAAATTGCCCGCAATTGTTCACATTGCGGGCTTTTTAGCCATTTTGGCTGGGAATTGGAGGGTGAGAGTAGTATTGTATGAAATAATATCTCTCACCCTCCAATTCATCCTATGGCGCCGAAAAAATTTTGGTGAAATGCGACCACATTTCACCAAAATTTCTCGGCGCCATATAGAGAACTAGAGCCTGTGAGGTACTGATACTATCCATGTACCTCGCAGGCTCTAGTTCCAAGCCAAAATGGCTAAAAATTGCCCGCAATTGTTCACATTCCCATCTTTTGTTGGTAAGACGAAGAATATGAAATAAATTATGAAGAAGATAATGATGAATAAAATATCACTTTTTATATTTTTGACACGTAAAGTTGTCACTTTTCTGTCAAACTGTTTTTATCGTTTTCGTATATAACACAATGACACCAAGAGCAGAATGGTTTTGGTCGACAATGAAATATTGGTTTACATTTTTTGAACGCAGATAGTTTTTTACATCATCTGATTTGAAAGAACTTTCACAGTCAGATGTCAGTTTTGTTGGATGGTATTTGTCAACGAATATTGTCAAAGCTGCTAAGATATCTAAAATATTTTTGGACCATAATGGTATGGCTTCACAGTATCTTGTGTTTTGACCGACAAATATTAGCCAGTATGGTGGTCCATCTGTTCTAACTCTCGGAATGTTTTCCAAGATATCCATAAACCAAGCATTGGTGTTAACTAAGATTTTTATCATGAGTGCTTTCTTTGTCGCTTTAGAAACATAGGGGTCCTTGTTTGGATTCGTCATTTTTTACCCCATAAGAAATGGGTTTATTTGGCGCATTAGCAGGAGTTGCATCCAGATTTTTGCCCGCAGTTGGAACAATAGCCAGAGGTGTATTTGGAGTTGGAAGGAAGATTTTGAGTACATTAGGTATACTGAAAGAGAAAGCACAACCTATTATACAAACTGTACAGAAAGGTTGGGATGTAGCACGAGATGCAGCAAATCTTATTCCAAATCCTGAAACAAGAGGAAAAGTTCAAGGATGGATGGACAATGTAGGAAGACAAGCAGGAAACTATTATAACAAAGCAAATGACTACTATAACCAAGCAGGACACTATATGGACCAAGGTGAAAGATTCTTTAACAGAGGATATAACCATGCACAACAATGGGTAAACAATAACCAACCTCAACCGCCTCAAACGTGGGGAATGTAAAGTTTTTTTACTGAGATGAAATGAACAATACAGCATTGAGACAAATGGGTTCAAATGGATTTGTCGGCTTCCAGCAGTTACACAACGTGTTTGTCAAGTTCTTCCTATACCTCAGGAAGTTTTAGACCGACTTAAAACAACAACAACCAGTTTTGAAAACAAACCAAACTAAAATTTTTTACTGAGATGAAATGACCGAAGAAGTGAAACGGTAGATTTGACACCACAAAAAAAAGTTCAGAACCATTGTCAAAACCTGTCAAAGAACTTACAGATGAAGAGAAAAATTCAATAATAGAAAGTGCCAGGTCTGGAAATACAAACCCTAACTACTAAAAGTCACTTTTCATAGAAATGGAACGGCTAGTATCTCAAAAAAGAAACAGACTCTCACAAATAAAATATTGAAGTCTGAAGGAGCTTTCGAGACAACAGATGGAAAAGTTTACTTCACTGACCAACAGTTCATTATAGAACATCTCATTGACTTAGAGTCGAAATATTCTAAACTTTACAACAAACACAAAAAGTTGAAAGGAAAACAAAAACAAATGGCATATGATATTTATGAAGATGTTGACGACACAACTGTTCCTGCAAGTGAAGTAAAGTCAGAGAAGAAAAAAGTTGTACCGAAAACCGATAGAAGAAGAAAACCAAAAACTGAAGATAAACCAAAACCAAAGTTTAGTTTGGAAACTAACCAAGTCAACCTTCATTAGCTGGTATGGGTTGGCGTCAAAGACTTATGGCAGCAGGCGTTATGTAAGTAAAGAAAAAATATTTTTTTTATTTTATAAAATGCCCCCATATAGAATGGATAGAAAATCTGCTAGAATAAAAGCAGAGTTGCAAAGATATGGTTGGAGAGTTTTCGAAGAAGTTTAATATAGAGAGGGAAGACCATAAAAGTCTATGACAAACTGGCTGTCTTCGCTACGAATGATTTGAACAGCAGCTGTGCAAATTATCCAAACAGACTAGAGAGGTTAGAAGAAGAACGTCTTATGGACATGCCTTTTCGATGTTAGTGAACCTCAAGTTGAAGGACACGACGCGCTTTGCCAGATTCTACTGGAACACGCACGAACAATTGCATCCTTGAGAAGGAAAAAAGGTAGTGCAGAGGATGGTCATGCTCCATGGAAAGAACAAGATATGCGCATATGAGAAGTCCCGTGAAGTTAGAAGTCAAATTACATCTGGTCGAACCTTTACAGTAAACTTTGACGAAGGAAAGAACAAGAAGGCTTCATGGGAGTCTTTGCTGCAATTCAAGATGGAAATAAGAAAGGATACAATCTCAGATTGGACATAACAGATTTGGATGGTCACATTTACTATGCACTATGCAATGTACAACAGCTGCAATGCTTCTTGACGCTTTCAAGACTACAAAGAGAGAACAAATGGTTGACTCCGACTCAGACATTTTGAATGCAATTGAACGGATTGCAAGTGTTCAAGTCGAATGGTACACCTAACCTCAAGCCAGCAGTCAGACAACAATGCTGGGATACTTTCCGTTCATAATAAGTCTGACATTGACTTGACAGGTAATGGAATTTACAATTCAATTGAAACAATGGTCAATGAATTTGTTTCTTACATGTCTCAGGAACTCTGGTCTTGTTACAGATGAGAAGATGAAGTATCTTGAGTCATGTGTGAAGACAGGTACATTCTCAGAGGTCAATTGGCGAAAAATTGCAGCCGTGGCAAATGTCAATATCCGAGTCAGCATACTACAGCTAAAGGTTCTTCCAATGACGACTATGTTGTTGACCGGATGGTTGAAGATTGTAATTGTCCACACCACTTCATGTGAACGAAAGTCTTACAAACCCATT